ACTAGAATGGCTAAATTTTAAAAAACAGCCAAAGCAAACAAACAAAATTCAACACTACTCAACCCTACACCTACTAGTATTTATCCAATTAAAAAAAAACCCTACATTCACATAAAAATGCATGTAAATAGTTATAATTTTTACTTATAATGGCTAAAAATTTAAAATTCCCCAAATATCTTTCAACTGGGGAAGGGCTAAGTGATCTGTAGTGGATCCATATAATGGGATACTACTCGGCAATAAAGAGTAACACACACATTAAAGATAGCAACAACATGGCAAATGCATTATACTAAGTGAAGGAAGACAGACACAAAAAGTACAATCAATATAGTTCCATTTATACATTTTGCAAAGGCAAAAATACAGGAACAGAAGAAGATAGATTACCGGTTGCTGGGGAAGGTGAAGAAGCTGATTACAAAGCTAATTTCTAGGTACTGGGAAAGTTTCAGAGAACTCAAGCACATGCTAGCTCAGAGTTAGCTACTCTAAAAAATTTTTAAGTTAAACTAAACTTATGTATTACATGAATTCCATCAGGGAGCCCCCACCCCCACCATTCCTCTGCCTATCCCCCCCCCCCCCCCCACCTTATTCTTCTGTCTTTTCTGTAGACTGGCTTCTCTACTTCTTTAGTTTATATAGTAGGACACCTGGCCACTGATGGAGAAGCTGTAACTAACGTCTTTACCTCCTGCTTATAGACAGGGTTCTGTGTCTCAGTTCCACTTCCAGAATCCCACAGAAACACGTTCCCTACTTTTGTCTGTTGTTCACTGCTAGGCCAGTCAGCTGTGTGTTGGGCAGGGTGTTACTTTGCACAAAATGGTTACTCCCACTATCACCATGTGGGTGGGGGAGGGAGCTTTGCCCTGAAAGCAGAGGGCCTGAGCAGGCTTTATCTTTAGGGTAGGTTACCTTCCTTAAAAAGTATGGTAAGGTTAAACTACAATGGTCATTGTCTTAATTTTTATAGGAGGCATGTAAACAATTAACAGATTATGCTTCTGTTTAAGAACATGATACTTCTAAAGTTTATATTCATTAGTTTTAAAAGAATAGTAGGGTAACAATAACATAACATTCTATTTACTATGATTTAAGTATTTTCCCACCTGAGATTGTAAATTCTTGAACAGGGTGAAAAAAATATATAAACAAAACAGAATCAATACCAAATAGAATCAATGCCCTACACACATAGTAAGCATTTCAAATTGTTAAATGCATGAAGTACCGTCAAATCTTAAGACTTTATATTTCTCATTTTTACATTAAGAAAGCCAAAGCACTTTTATCAGGGCCAGGCAACAGAAAAAGATCTTTAGGGAATGGAAATTTCCAAAAACTTAGTACCATAAAAATGGCTTACTAAGAAGATGATTCTGGAGTTCTTATTTTGCTGATATTTTTAATGTAGCAAGAAATAATTACTAGAAATTAAATTATCACTGTAGAAAGTTTTCTTCTTTGAGCTGCTTTCTAATTCAACCCGAACAATTGACTTTGTATAACCCTAGCTTTACAAAGCACACCTGCCTTTAAAATGAATGTATCAACTCTTAGATGCAATAAATTTCCATCCTTTGATCTCTTATCACATTGTGTTTCAAAACATCAAAGAGTCTAAAACTGTCTTGAACAGTGCCAAACACAGCTCTGAGTTTGATCCTGAGCCCACAAAATCAGAAGCCTTGAAATCTCAGCCACAACTTTTTTTAAAAAAAAACCTCATTAACAATATGCTAAAGTGGTTCTTTTGCCAGGAATTTTAAGGCTTAAATAAAAACTTATGGCAAATCCCTACTCCTACATCCTCTCAATCTGGTTCCTTGTATTGCCTCTTGTAGCTAGTTATTTTTCTCAACACCCTATTTATCCCAAGTATAGAAAACTGCCCCTTCTCCTTCAATCAATATATACTTAATAGTTCTTTTATCAAAGGTTTAAGCTGGGTAACTAAGGATAATTATAGCGCAGTGCAGAAACAACTTCAAATTGAATTCCGACATACTGGAATCCAATGAACAAAATAAACTGATAGGTCCAGAGGCGTGGAGGCATGGAACAGACTGACAGATCTGAGAGAGGAGGGCACAGGACTGGGAGAGATTTACCAAATAACTTCCTATATAATAAAGGGGTAATATGCAAATTGCCCCTCACATCCTCACAAGATGACTACCTACGACCAGGCAAATAGGGAGGTTAGTGAGGGATGACCAAACAACTGAACAAGAAGGCTTCATGTGGTGACCAGGCCAGCAGGAGGGGGCAGTTGGGGGTGACCTGGTCAGCAGAGGGGGCAGTTAGGGGCAACCAGGCAGTCAGGCAGGTGAGTGATTAGGAGCCAGCGGTCCAGGATTGTAGAGGGATGTCCCTGATTGGAGAGAGTGCAGGCTGGGCTGAGGGGACCCCTCCCCATGCACAAATTTTGTACACCAGGCCTATAGTATACACATATGTTCATAGCCCATGGACATAGACAATACTTCGGTAAAGGCCTGGGGTGGGTAGGAGTGGGGTAGAGTAGGGCAAAGGTAGGGTGGAATGGGGGACATCTGTAATACTGTCAACAATATTTTAAAAAGTTGAATCCTACAAAACACTATTACTAAAGATTCCTTAGCATTCCTAATCATCTTGTTCCTAAGACCCTCCCTCTGTCATGGTTCTTAAAGCTTTCTCTCTCCCTCACTCCCCTTCTAAATCTCTTCTATTTCCTACTCCTATCAAACCTAATTCAAGAGAGGGCATTTATCAAATTTCTGTTACTTTACTCTGCAAAGGGAATCTAAGCTCTTTTCCTTCAGTCTTTTCTGTCCAAACATTGCCTAGACACCCCACCTTTCACAACTAACAAAAAGTCCATCTAAGTGGCTTCTAAACAAAAGCTCACTTTTTTTCGCTGTAAGTAATGTTCCATTCTTTTAGGTTATCTAGCAAAAGCTGCAGCCCGTTCTTAAAGTAATAATTTTTCCTTCCCATCATAAAAACATACACCAGAAATTTTACAGTCCAATTACTTGTGTTCTTGAAAGGAGGCTCAGGAAAGGTTATTCATTTACTGAAATGATACTATTATTACTATTATTAATCTTCTACACAATTTACTAAGAAATGTGGCTTATTATTGTGCCTCAAGACATCTTTCTTGGGTCCAATTCCCTTAATTCAATTTCTATCTCTCATTTTCATTCCTCTATTCATTCAACGAACCAATAGACATGGCATTAGATGTGGGAAATGCAGTCCTATCACTTAAGATACTCTTAATTTAGAAGGGGCTGTACCAGTGCTACATATGAAGCAGGAGATGAGGAGCGGGGGGGGGGGGGGGGTGTTCTGGGTGATTAGACTGAGTTTTGAAGTTTGGAGGAATTTTATTAAGCTGTTACTAGTTCATATGTTTACTTTAGGACTGAGAAGGAAAGTTGGTCTATTATTCATGTCTCCAGTCCAAAGAGATAACATATTTCTGTAAGTAGGTAAATAATGCTAGTAATGCTGCCTCCTTCCTAAAAAACACTATATAATTAGTAGAATGTTTAATACTAATCTGTCCTGAATTTTAACTTTTTCATTTATATATTTAACCAAGAAGTATTTATAAGTATTTATATTCTATGGACTTTCAATGGACAGCTTCATCTACTGAATAAAAATTCATTTATAGCTAGGTTCTAGGCATTGTGTTACATCAGTTGAATGAACAAAGTCAAGATCTGTTTGATCAATTATGCCTTAAAGTTTGGGGGGTGAGGGGAGGGATACCTGTCTGCCACTATCACAATAATAGATCTTCCTAATGATAATTTTGATTCATCAGTAGAAATTATTATATATAGAATACAATTGTGGAGGGGAATAAATAATACAATCATTTTATAAAGATAATGTAAAGTAATTTACAAAATTAATCTATTTAAATCTGCATTTGAAGAGTTAATCTCTAGCTACATGTAAAATTCAAATATTCAGAAGATACTTCTTTCCCCAAGAATTTCAGAGAGTAAAAGTTTTTCTTTTTTAATATTTATTTATTTATTTATTTTTACAGAGAGGAAGGGAGAGGGATAGAGAGTTAGAAACATCGATGAGAGAGAATCATCGATCAGTTGCCTCCTGCACATCTCCTACTGGGGATGTGCCCACAACTAAGGTACATGCCCTTGACCGGAATCGAACCTGGGACCTTTCAGTACGCAGGCCGACGCTCTATCCACTGAGCCAAACCGGTTTTGTCAGTAAAAGTTTTTTTCACTTGATAACATAGAAGTCAATTTTCAGGCAAGTGTTTTAATGCCCAAATAAGTTTAAGTAAACATCCTTTATAGATTTAGTTTTAGTATACTACGTAAAATAAGGAAAACTTGCATTAAGTGTTTTGTTTTCTAACTCAATGCTGAACAAAGTTTTATACCTACCTCTCCAATTATTGGACAGCACTTTGAATGTAGGCTATTCTGTGGCTGTTCAAAGTTTTGAACTGAACCTAACAACACTGAACCTGACAACATTTCATCCTGACTCAGTTTTCAAAACATAACCATCCTTGGTCATATTCCTCCAAGCATCCAATTGCTGTTTGGACTAATTTCATAAATTAACTCGAGCTAACATATTAATTAATGATGATGATAGCCTAATGCACTGCTACTCTCAGAGAAATGTGTAAAGATGTATAGAAATATAAACTGTAATCCAAGAACATGGGTCTTTTTCTCATTTGTAATAACTGGGCCAAATAAATCTCAAACTAAAATAATAATCAAAACAAAAAAACACCAAAGGGTTATAACAAAAATAAGATAGCTTATATTTTTTAACTTTAGTTTGAGAGAGAAAATGAAAGTATACTAGCTTACATTTGTATATAGTTTGCATATGTATTTAATGTTCTTTCTTAACATATATATGCATGTTTTATTTACTTTAATATTTAAAAGTTCATAATATTCCTATTTTATAAAATAAAACAATTCGCTGCACACTTGCTTCAGCAGCACATGTACTAAAATTGGAATAATACAAAGAAGATTAACATAGAACCTGCCCAAGGGTGACACCTAAATCATGAAACATTTCATATTTAAAAAGCAAAAACAAAAACTAGCCCTAGCCGGTTTGGCTTGGTGGTTACAGTGTCGGCCCGCAGACTGAAGGGTCCACACCTCGTACTTTGGTTGCAGGCTTGATCCCAGCCCCAGTTGGGGCGTGTCAGGAGGCAACCACACTATCTGTCTCTCTCACATCAATGTTTCTCTGTCTCTCCTCTTCCCTTTCACTGTAGAAAACTCAATGGAAAAAATAGCCCTGGGTGAGGATTAACAACAGAAAAAAAAGTTTATGTTACTATCAAATGATAGGTCAAGGACTCTAAACAATTCTAATATCATATCAGATATTTTCCCACTAGGTACAGCTTCTAAATATGTTCATAATGACTAATTTTAAATTAAATAAGAGAATCATGAGAGTATATAAACACAATGAAAAAAACTTCACTTAAATTCAACATACAATCGCTTTTTTTTTTAAAATGGGGATTAAGATAGGAGCGAAAGTGAGCAGGCCCAGCAAGAGGATAAAGTAGGAAAATACGTTATTGGGTAGAAAAATGTCATAGCTAGAGAAACAGATTCGGGATGAAAAGAGAAAAAGACGAGTGTATCTAAAAGGTAGAATGAACTGAAGTCTGGGCCTTGGAGGTCCTCAACCAGAGTTGGTTCCACTCAGCACACCTGGTGTCACACCTCCAGAGCAGTCTTGCTCTGCATTCCTCCTCCTTGGCTCCAGTCAGCCAAAAATATTCTTTTAATTAAGCAATCTGAGAGCCTGTGACTAGTATTTCCATGATTCCCCAAGAGCCCTGACCTTATCTTGGTCTAATCACTGTAATTAGTTTTCCTTTCACTTCTTCAGTGAGAAAACCAAAGGCAATTTACTTCAGAAATCATTCTCTGCCCATTTTTAAATTGGATTCTATCTTCCTTTTGCTAAGTTTCATGAATTCCTTATATATTTTGGATAATAATGCCTTATCAGATGTATCATTGACAAATATGTTCTCCCATACAGTGAGCTCCCTTTTTATTGTGTCGATGGTTTCTTTTTATTTTGATGTAGTCCCATTTGTTCATTTTCTCTTCTGCTTTCCTTGCCCTAGGAGATGTATCAGCAAACATATTGCTACGAAAGATATCTGAGATTTTGTTGCCTACAGTTTCTCTAGAAGTTATGGTTTCATGACATACATTTAAGCCTTTTTTCATTTTGAGTTTATTCTTGTGGTCATGTAAGTTACTGATCTAGTTTCATTTTTTTGCATGTATCTGTCCAATTTTGTCAACACCATTTATTGAAGAGACTATCTTGACTCTATTGCATGCTCTTGCTTCTTTTGCCAAATATTAATTTAGCATAATAGCTTAGGTCTATTTCTAGGGTTGCTCTTCTGTTCCATTCATCTATATGCCTGTTCTTGTGCCAGTCTCAGGCTGTTTCAATTACAGTGGCTTTGTAGTATAACTTGATCTCTGGTACTGTGTTCCCTCCAACTTTGTTCTTCCCTTCAAGATTGCTGTAGCTATTCAGGGTCTCTTTTGGTTCCAAAAAATTTTTAGAGTATTTGTTTTAGATCTTTTTTTTTTTTTTTAATATATTTTATTGATTTTTTTTTTGCCCCCCTCTCTCCCTCCCACACATCCCCTCCCTCCCCAGAGTTTTATGTCCATTGGTTGTATTTATATGCATGTATAAAAGTCCTTTGGTTGATCTATTATCTCCCCCAGATCTTCCTCCCCTCCCCGCTGTAATTTGACAGTCTGCTTGTTGATATACTGTCTCTATATCTATCTTTTGGTTCATCAGTTTATAATGTTCTTTATTATCCACAAATGAGTGAGGTCATGTGGTGTTTCTCTTTCATTGATTGGCTTATTTCACTCAGCATGATGTTCTCCAATTCCATCCAGGTTGCTGCAAATGATGAGAATTCCTTCTTTTTTATGGCAGCATAGTACTCCATTGTGTAGATGTACCATAGTTTTTGGATCCAATCATCTGCTGACCGGCACCTAGGCTGTTTCCATATTCTGGCTATTGTAGATTGTGCTGCTATGAACATAGGGGTGCAAATATCCTTTCTGATTGGTGTTTCTAGTTTCTTGGGATATATTCCTAGAAGTGGGATTACTGGGTCAAATGGGAGTTCCATTTTCAGTTTTTGAGGAAACTCCACACTGTTCTCCACAGTGGTTGCACCAGTCTGCATTCCCACCAGCAGTGCACGAGGGTTCCTTTTTCTCCGCAACCTTGCCAACACTTGTCGTTTGTTGATTTGTTGATGTTGGCCATTCTGACAGGTGTGAGATGGTACCGCATTGTTGTTTTGATTTGCATCTGTCGGATAATTAGTGACTTTGAGCATGTTTTCATGTGCCTTTTGGCCTTCCTTCTGTCTTCTTTTGAAAATGTTCTATTTAGGTCCATTGACCATTTTTTAATTGGATTATTCATCTTCCTTTTATTTAGTTGTATAAGCTGTTTGTAGATGTTGAAGATTAAACCTTTATCCGTGGTATCATTTGCAAATATGTTCTCCCACACAGTGGGCTTTCTTCTTGTTTTGTTGTTGGTTTCTTTTGCTGTAAAAAAGCTTTTTATTTTGATGTTGTCCCATTTGTTTATTTTCTCTTTAGCTTCCATTGCCCTAGGGGTAGTATCAGTGAAGAAGTTCTTTTGGCATATGTCTGAGATTTTGTTGCCTGTGGATGCTTCTAGTATTTTTATGGTTTCCCGTCTGATGTTTAAGTCCTGTATCCATTTTGAGTTTATTTTTGTGAATGGTGTACGTTGGTGATCTAGTTTCATTCTTTTGCATGTGTCTGTCCAATTTTCCCAACACCATTTATTGAAGAAACTGTCTTGACTCCATTGTATATTCCTGCCTCCTTTGTCAAATATTAATTGAGCATAGTGATTTGGGTTGATATCTGGGTTCTCAATTCGATTCCATTGATCTATATGTCTGTTCTTGTGCCAGTACCAGGCTGTTTTGAGAACAGTGGCTTTGTAATATAGTTTGAAGTCTGGTATTGAGATTCCTCCTACTTTACTCTTCTTTCTCAGGATTGCTGTGGCTATTCGGGGTCTTTTATTGTTCCAAATGAACTTTTGGAGAGTTCTTTCTAGGTCAGTGAAATATGTTGTTGGTATTTTAATGGGGAGTGCATTAACCTATAGATTGCTTTAGGAAGTATGGACATTTTGATGATGTTGATTCTACCAATCCATGAACATGGTATGTTCTTCCATCTCCTTACATCTTCCTCTATCTCTTTTTTCAGTGTTGTGTAGTTTTCCACATATAGGTCCTTTACTTCCTTAGTTAAATTTATTCCTAGGTATCTTAATTTTTTGGTGCGATGGTAAATGGAATTGCTTTTTTAGTCTCTGTTTCTGCAGTTTCACTGTTGGTGTATAGAAATGCCATGGATTTCTTGGCATTAATTTTGTATCCTGCTACATTGCCAAATTCATTTATTAAGTCAATTAGTTTTTTAATGGAGTTTTTTGGGTTTTTTTATATACAATATCATGTCATCTGCAAATAAGGATAACTTTACTTCTTCTTTTCCAATTTGGATGCCTTTTATTTCCTCCTCTTGTCTAATTGCAATGGCTAGTACTTCCAGTACTATGTCAAACAGGAGTGGCAAGAGTGGGCATCCCTGTCTTGTTCCTGTTCTTAGAGGGAATGCTTTTAGTTTTTGCCCATTGAGTATAATGTTGGCTGTGGGTTTATCATATATAGCTTTATTATGAGGTATGATCCTTTTTTTTTTTTTTTGATGCAAACAGCAAGAGGATTTATTCCAGCATGCTGGGACCTGACCTGTTACTCACGTAGGAGCAGCCAAGTCAAGTCGAGGTATGATCCTTGTACTCCCACCTTGCTGAGGGTTTTTATCAGAAAAGGGTGTTGGATTTTATTGAATGCTTTTTCTGCATCAATTGATATGACTATATGATTTTTACCTTTCAATTTGTTTATGTGATGTATCACGTTTATTGATTTGCGGATATTGTACCATCTTTGCAATCCTGGAATAAATCCTACTTGGTCGTGGTGTATAATCTTTGTGATGTTCTTCCGGAGTCGATTTGCTAGAATTTTGTTGAGGATTTTGGCATCTATGTTCATGAGGGATATTGGCCTGTAATTCTCTTTCATTGAGTTGTCTTTATCTGGTTTTGGTATTAGGGTGATGCTAGCTTCATAGAAGGAGTTTGGAAGTGTTCCTTTCTCTTGGATTTTTTGGAATAGTCTGAGGAGGATAGTTTTTAGTTCTTCCTTGAATATTTGGTAAAACTCTCTTGTGAAGCCATCTGGCCCTGGGCTTTTGTTTGCTGGAAGCTTTTTGATGACTGTTTCAATTTCTTCCCAAGTCACTGGTTTATTGAGATTTTTAGATTCTTCCTGATTGAGTTTTGGAAGTTTGTATTTTTCTAGGAATATGTCCATTTCCTCCTGGTTGTTCGGTTTGTTGGAGTAGAGTTGTTCATAGTATTTTGTAACAATCCGTTGTATTTCGGTGGGGTCTGTTGTTATTTCACCTCTTTCATTTCTGATTTTGTTTATTTGGGTCCTCTCTCTTTGTTTCTTGGTTAGACTGGCTAGAGGTCCATCTATCTTGTTTATCCTTTCAAAGAACCAGCTCTTGGTTTTGTTGATCTTATATATTGTTTCTTTGGTCTCTATGTCGTTTATCTGTGCTCTGATTTTTGTTATTTCCTTCCTTCTGCTTACACTGGGCTTTTCTTGTTGCTCTTTTTCTAACTCTTTGAGTTGTAGAGTTAGATCATCTATTACCCTTTTTTCTAGTTTTTTGCAATAGGCTTGTAAGGATATGAACTTCCCTCTCAAAACTGCTTTTGCTGTGTCCCATAGATTTTGGATTGTTGTGTTTTCATTGTCATTTGTTTCCAGGATGTTTTTAATTTCTTCCTTGATTTCTCTGGTAACCCAGTCCTTGTTTAATAGCATGCTGTTTAGTCTCCATGTGTTTGATTTCTTCGGATTATTTTTATT